ACTTTGAAACATAAATACTTGAAATTATCTGACTTAGCTCTAAAACCTCAAACTAAAGTCCCAGGATACCTGAGAGCCACTAAAAACACATTTGGAAAAATCAGAAATTAGGCCTTACCTTCTCTCCTCTCATAAGTCTTTTTCTTTTGCCTATTCTTTTCTCTTCTTTTTAGAATTGCTGTAAAATTCCAATATCCTGAAATGCCTCAGTTATCAAGATGTTCCACCCATGGTCTGATAAGGTGAAGAGGTGGAATTGTCTATTCCCCTCACTCTAGGAGGCAAATATTAGGTGGAGAGAGTAATTCACTTACAAATAATTAGATAATTGTGAAAAAAATCCTGCAACTGCATTTATTTCCTTGTCTCAAGACAAGGTCTTGAAATAGAGGAAGATGAAGAGGGTTGGGTGGCTTCACCTCATCTAAGAGTGACTTCACTTGAGTGCTGTAAGATTTGAGCTCAGCTGGTCTGGTACTTGCTACATCTGGAATAAGAACTGGTACTGTTTGATATTTGTAAAATATATTCTCCTTGTTCTCCTTCTGCTGAAGTGTTCCTGGCAATAAGTACCTCAGTGTCATGGCCTGCCAACAATGTGTGTGGAATCAAGTGCAACTGTTAGAGTGAAGATCATGCAAAAGCATCCTGAATGCTTCCAGTAGACTATTTTCTCCTGTTCTAATAAAAAATAAATAAATATAATTAAAAATGCCTTGGCATTTCCCTCCAAGTGCACGGTATTCTGTCCTTCAGTTTTTAATCACAGGACATGAAAGACACCTATACATTGATTTGCTGGGCAGGGAAAACAGCCCCAATGCAGAATTAGCATTTGTTCTCTCCAATAAAACCAGAATTAGACAAGAGTAAGTTGTGTTTCAGACCTTACTAACTTAATAAATGCTGTCACCATATTAATAAACACTTTCTTGCTCTCAGACATGTCCCTTTTAGCCCACCATTAACTCTTCCAAGGCAACAAACAGTGTTTGCAGAGTTCCCCCCTGCCCGGGGACCAGGCTCCAGCAGTGACCCCTCCATTTCTCCATTTCTGGGGTGACCAGTGGTGGCCCTGGCACAGTCACACTCTGGCTCTGGGGGCAGCTGCTCCCAAAGTCCCCCTGGCAAAGGTCTGGAAAGCTGCCAGAGCTCCGAGGTTTGACTGAAACCCCCAGGGAGGGGGCTACAGCCATTGCAATATCACTCTAATTAACCAAACAGGAGCTCTGTCTCATCAACAGTTAATCACAGGACTTCACTTGTCTCTAAGTTCCTGCAGTTGCCTTGACAGATGAGAGCACAATAATATAAATAAGAAATGACAGTTTACCAAAGAAGGTTAACATAAGGCCACGACCTTTTTCTACTTGACTTCTGCAGCTTATTCATGTGTGAAAACACGCTTTTGTAGCTGTAGCTTCAGCATCCCTTACAGATCTGGACTTGTGCCAACAACTGAGCTTTAAAATTACCATTTAAAATACCATTTTAAATGGTATTTATGCTCAGAAAATACCATTTCTGCATTTTGCGATGCTCGAGTAGAACTGCTTCGCATCAGAATAAAATATGAAATGAGGATATCTCTGCATTTCACAGCCTGTCTCCCTGACACAGTGGTGCCTCTGCTCCACAAACAAGGAGGCATTGGGCACACACCCATCTCCTCTCCCTTCCTCAGACCAGGTCACACCTTTCTGAGCAAACCCACAGCCCCTGCCCGGGCTGCCTCAGGAACAGCACACGGATGCACAGGGCACAGCATCAGCCTGACAGTCCTACACTGGTAAATGTCAAATATTAATTTGTCACATTATTTGTGCAGCGATTTAAAGCCAAATCCTGTCTCATCATTCACTTCCATCAGGCACACGAGGAGCGGGAGGGAAGCAGGAGCTTTCTGTCACAATCTGAAATGCCTGCGCCAGGAGCTGCCAGGAAATATTTCTCTGTCAGAGAAGCAAACTGAAGTTGTGAGCATGAAGGCTGGAGAGTGAAAGCTGCAGTACAACATGGAGATAATTAGTTTTGAAAGGCTAATCAGGTCACTGCTCTGGCTGGCATTTCTATGGAGATGCACAAGCCTCCAGCTCACCACAGCTTGCCTCTCCATACGAGTATTCCTCACCAAAATGAAGTAAGACCTTACAAACTGCTTAACTCTGAATGACATTTCCTGCCATAAGAACCCCCAAATAGCCAGGAAATATCCCTACAGCCCTTGGAATGAGGACAGACCCCACAGCATGGCTCTGTGCTGCCCAATCTCCTTCCCCATGTGGGTCCAACCAGCCACAGAATCACTCAAGAAGGAGGTTTAATCAAAGCTGCTTGCAACAACTATTTTAAGATGATCCCACTTATTTTGTGCTGTTTTCTGGTGCATATTCATGGAGCCTTGTGTCTTGCACACACCTCTGACACCCAAGAAGGTGGAGAAGTTGAGCACTATCAGCTCTCTCAAGCTGTGAAATTAGGCCTTTGTGTCTCCAAAAAAAATTGCCCTCAAACCTCCAGCAATGCTTGATTAAAACAGCATTGCACTTCAGTACGCTGTTTGTTAGTGAATTTTTATCCACTTTCCCTTCCTGAGCATTAAGCAGCTACAAATGGCTAAAAAAATATTTAAAAAAACCCAACAGTTCTTTCCTGACAGAAAGAACTTTCCCTTTTGTCAGAAGGACGCTCTACTTTGTTTCTGAAAAACACGATCAATCTTTCCAGTAATAACGACTCGCTGAATAAGATCTGTGCTACTTCCATGCTGCTTTTCTAACAATACACCTTATTTGTACCTTGGCTTATAAAAAAACCCCGTACACTGATCGATCATTGCAGGCACCAGTGAAATAAAACCAACCACGAGACAAATAATGGGAGCAGAACAATAGTGAACATCTATTTAATGCCTGAGTTTAGACTAAGGGGTAACATAAAGCACAATGATGCTATAAAGGCAGAAAGAATGGAACAATCCAGAACAACAATAAACTTTATTCCTCCAAAACCACTGGTTAACCTGAATGAGGAGCTGTTTTACTCTTGTCTGCAAAAATGACTCCTTTGAGCAATGCAGAGGCATTAATAAAACCACAGTTCACGCCCTGGAAGGATTTCAGCAGCACTCACAGTTTTGTTTGAGAGCTCACTTTCCCCTCAAGTAGTAACCAGCCACTAAATTACTCATATTGCAACACCTGATGGCCAGAAGTTGGCTGAAGTTGGCCTCCTTGCAGGTCAGTACAGCCAAATTCTGCCATTGTCACCTCTGCAGAAGTTCAGGTGTATTTAGTGACACTATCACATTCACTCTGTTGTATGACTTGCTTCCAGTTCATTGTATTTTTCCATTTTTGCCTGAAGATTAAAAAAAAAAAAAAAAAATGGCCTTAAAACAGCTAATAATATATTCCCCTGCAACTCCTGGTCAGATAGAACATAGTACAAAAATCAAATACCTTAAGCTCTGTTTGAGATTTTAAAGACTGTCCAAAAGCTTGAATTTAAAGTGTATTGTAAGAACTGAATTGTGCAGAAGGAACACTAATTTGACTAACTTATTAAAATAAAACTAGTGTAAAAGAAAAATTGCTCTTGCATGCTAAGGATTATGATGAGTAGGACTCCTGCTTTCAAAAACCTGGGGGTGTGGTGAACTTTTATGCACTGAAAGCAGCAAGTAGTCATCAAAACACAGACCTGTGCACTGGCCCATGGGCATCTTGCCAGTCAGTCTCCCAAAGAGGCAAGAGAGGTGAAGTAGCAGGGATCTGTGAATCATAAATGATATACCCTGGGTTGAGCTCTCCAAAGGCCAAAATGAAAACATGGAGGACCATAATTAAATACTTCAATCAAAATAACATAACTATCTACAGCTTATATTCACTGTCAAGGTGGATCTCAACTGACAGGCTGTCATAAAAAATAATTCTATTGTCTTTTAGTGAAAAAAGCAGTGCAGCCAAATGAATTTTTAAGTTAGGATAAATCATATGACCACAGACAAGAAATACAGTGCTTTATACAAACCTTTAAAAGTAGCTGGAAATGGTAAAATGAAATCTTGGAAGAAGGGAATTTGTGAGACACTGTGCAATGGGAAAAGTCAGAGAACACAGTTTCTTTTGAGAAGATATTAATACAGGTCATGAAAAGCTACCCTGAGATGAAAAAAAAATCATCACTGATGCATTCACTGCAGCACTGAAAAGCAGGGGAGGTCCAATCCAGGCCCACAGCAGAGCACACCAGGTGATGTGGCAGCACATCCCTGTTACCTGGGTCAGAGAAGAGCTCAGGAAGAAGGAACTGCCCGGGCCTGCAGCACAGCACACCCTGGGTACCTCACACCTGACTTTCTGCAACCCCTGATGCTGCACAAAATGTAGTGACTGTAGGTCAACACATCAACTGGACTTGTTTACACCCACTCTGCTTGCCAGTGAGCCTTTAGGAAGTCTGACCATAATTCATTATGTGTTCTAACATAAGTTTTTGCATAAGAACGAATTTTACCCTCTAATGCACTAACTAGACTTAAATTTCCCTTAGGAAAAAGACAAATGGGTTTACATAGCATGTGGTTTTAAATCCTTTTTTATTCAGTTAATCTCTAGCTGTGGAATTGTGATTGAAATATGAAAATGTATGTGCATTTTCTGATAAGAACCATTTTGCTTAAGAGACAGATGAAATATTATCAAGTGTATACACTTTCTTCAAGTTTTTCAACTGATGACGGAAATCCCATAATCAGAACATGGCACAGCCAATCCAGGTTAAGTGATAACATTTTTTTCAACAAAACAAAACAAAACCCCAACCCTTTGAAGTGTTCTTACAGTTACATCTTCATAATCCAGACATGAGAAGATCTGCGCTCTCGACAACTCTGAGCACACGCTCTCCAGCCGGCTCCACATAAAAGCCACCATTTCCTTCCCCTTCCTAAGTCTGATTCCTTCCTAGCAGTGAGACAAGGCACAAAGCATTACCTGCACAGGATTTTCCATCTTCCCCCAGCCTCTGGCCAGCTGGGCACTTGCAGTGGTAGCTGCCGATGGTGTTGCAGCAGCGGTCGTGGCAGCCGCCGTTCCCCGTGCTGCACTCGTTGACATCTGCCAGGAGGAAGCACAAGCAACCAGTGAAGAGAGGGCACCGACCACAGCACCTGAAGATCTGGGGGCAGTCGTGTCTGACTGATGTGAAAAAGTGAGAAAGTTTCTGAGATGACCAGCTCGAGACCCTGAAGCAACCCCCGGATCAGCGACTCCCGGGCCACGCTGCTGAGCCCCTCCGCTCAGCCAGGCTGTACCAGGGGAGGTTTAGATTTGGTACCACAAAGCATTTCTTTATTGGAAGGATTGCCTAGCACTGGAAAAGGGTGCCCAGGGAAGTGGTGGAGTCACCATCCCTAGAGGGATTTAAAAGACAGATATCATAGAATCATTACTGTTGGAAAACACCTCTAAGATCCTCAAACCCAACCATTAGTGGATGTGGCACATGGGAACATGGTTTAGTGCAGGGGCTTGGCAGTGCTGGGTTAATGGTTGGACTCAATGGTCTTAAAGGTCTTTTCAACCTGAAATATTCTGTAATTTCAAGAGTTGCAGGGGTGGGATTTTCCTCCTCCTTTTCTAAACAGATGAGTGCAGAGCCTACCTGACACCAGCTTCAGGCTCTACCCAGCTCACCAACTTCCACCTCTGGAACAACCTCTACACAGTTATTTCCAGCAGCCTCACTTGGGTATTAGGTTGCTTCTAGAAGCAGTGGCAGAGATAAGAAACCTCTGAAAGATGGTAGGATTTTAAATCAATTATGGTCCTGCTTTCTGTCAGGTGCTGTTATCTACACACATGACTTATTCACCTTGTGAGCTGGTGTTTTCCTGCATGCAAAATAGAACTTTACACATTACAAATGAAGAGCATTAAAGGACTAAATGAAAAAAAAAATGTAAATAGACAGCTAGTGGCAGAGAAATAAATCAATAGCAAAGACCTTCCCTTACATACCTACTTAAACATCCTACATATGAAATTTCAAAGAAATATGATAGAAACCACCAGGCCAGCAGTGCTGCTCTGCTGAGCAGGAGCAGAAACAACAAACAGTATGGAGGTGATTTCCAAAATAGAAAATTTGTTCAAAGAGGATGGTAAACGTAACAAGCCCAGCAGGTATTTGCTGCACTGATTCCATGCACAGTGAGCTTGGGAAATTCTTCTCACTCACTTTGCTCTCTGAAGTGTTCATGTCCCACATACACCCAAGCCCAGCAGTGCAAGGGTAAGCAGGAATGGACCTGTGTGAGAATAATGGGCTCTGGGGAGCTTGGCTTTAATTTTTGGGCAAATGTCTTGATCTGCCTTGGTGGCAGAGACGGGGCTGAGGGACATGCCACCTCCTCAAAGCCCAGGCTGAGGGTGCTGGTGACAAATTTGATATGCCTTTGGCACTGGGAAAGAGCTCACATTGCTCTCAGGTGAGACAGCAGGAAAGCCAGGAGGAGGAGGATTGAACAGCAGAAGATAAGCATCATCATGACTGTAAAAACCACAGGCAGTTACTTCATATTAGTGGCACTCCTCATCCCAAAGGGAGGAACGAAGCTTTAAAAAAAAACATTTAATTAGTTTGCAAAGAAAAAATAATCAAAAAAAGAATTTCACATTCATGCAAGAGAGGTGAGAGCCTTTCGACTGCAACCCTTCGGTGTTAAAGGGTTTCACTAAGATTGACCAAGGTTCGTTAGTTCTTTGATGAGCTCAAGTCTCACTTGACTGGTTCATTTCTGATCCTGGCGAAAAGCCACAGGTTAAAAGAAATTTTTGAGGAGGTTTCAGACTATTAAAAAGCTAAAGGAAAAGTGTATCATGAAACACCAACTTTTGCTGAAGTGTAGCTGAAAAGGCACAAACCCTCTAAAACCACCTCATTTCTCTACAGCTTTAGATTCAATGCAATGACCGACAAAATGATAATTTCTTTGTCCTCAGCGATACTGGAAAAACACTGGCAGGCTATAAAGAAATAAAACAAAATTCAGTTATCCCAGAGCTACACAACAAACCAATTCCTAACTCGCTTGAAGCCAACAAGGCTCTTCTCCACTTCACGGGAACGCGATTCAAACAGAAACTTTTCCAGCAGAAAAACACTCCCCTCCCCTCCTCCTCTCCAAAAACAAACGGCACCAAAATAACAACGCGCGTCTGCTCGCTTCTCCTCGGCGAGAGATGGGGAGAACATATGACAGGAGGCAGATTTTGGACGTGTTCCTCCAAGCTCTGGGAGGAGGCACGCGAGCGCTCGGCGCCGCGCGGCCGCTTCCGAGGGGTTTGCTCGCTGCGCCTCGTGGTGACAAACAGCAGCGAGCCACAAAACAACCCAGCTCCGCAGCTTCCACTTCTGTTCATACTGACAGGATGAAAACTAATAAAATCTCCTTGCTCTTTTCATTATTTAAACAAAATTGAGGGAAGAACTGCTTTATTTTTTTAGCGCCCACAGTGCTACGTGACCTCCTGGTGTAAAATATTGACTGGGTGAGGTGGTCTAGGATATACAGCCCGATTTATTAACACCAGTGTCTATATTTTGAACCAAATAATTGGAAGAAAACCTTTCTAGCTGAGGAGCTCATTATTATCCCCTTGATTTCACCAGGGTATAATCCATTCGGAAGTGTATAGTGCTGTTGCATGCTAATACATAGGAAGCTTCTCCTTTGATTGCAGAGTGTTCCTGTTAGCAATTAAAAATATTTTCCTTCCTTGTTCAGCATAAAATGCTGTGGTCCAGCTATTGGTGCTGCATGACTGAAAACCTCATTTCCTCCTCCTTCTAAGCCTACCTTCTTAATGCCCTGTCCAGGATTTCCTTGTCTCTGCCTTAATATTTGTTTTCATCTTCTGATGACATATTTTCATGCCCTTTCTTCACTGCTTTTTACACCAGAAACCCACCACTTCTTCTGCTATATTCAGAAAACTTGACTTTCCATCTCCATGTGTCTTTAAAACAAACACCTTCTTTAAAACTGATCATTATAAAATAAACTGTGATTTAGTTTCTGAGTTAAGACACTAAGAAAAGCTTTTTTGATACAGCTTTATTAGAGAGCAATCACATTAGAAGGAATATACTGAGTAGGAATAAATCTCACCAGTTTTAGCCCTAATATGATGAAAATTTGCTCTCTAAGCATCTGCATCCTTTGCTCTCCTGTCTCCTGTTCAAGACCTTCCCCACTGCCTGCTCCCTGCCAAGCTGTTTTCTGCAACTCCATAATAAAGGTCAGATGTTGCCTCAGCCCAAAGAAGCACAAAAATAAATGATCAGAATGTGAAGTAATAAAGAATGTGGTTTACATTTGTAAAAGGCCGGGTCATAGAGCTTTTACAAGCCACAATCAGCTGTTCCATATTCCTAGAAGAGAGTAGTCAGGATTTTAAAATCCAATTACAGTTTTGCCATTGGAAAAAAAAAGAAAAGAAGGAAAATCAAAACAAACTCAACAAAAACAATCCTGTCAAATGATAAATTTCTGTCTGCTTTCCATATTCAATGTCACTCAAGGTCGCAAATATATTTTGCCTTTTGAATAGTGAGCAAAATGACAGAAAATTTCTGACACGTAACAAGTCTGCCACGTTAGGTCTGACAAAAGTTCAATGTTATCAGGCCTATCAATCTATCTGTAATGACATGCTGTAGGCACTTCAAAAAAAAAAAAAAAAAGTGATGTTTGCTACAGCACTCTTTCACATTTATTTATAGAGCCAATGTTGCAACACAAAAACATTATCCATGGGACATACTGGATGTGAGCCTTCAATCTTGCCATGGGAAAAATAATTGAAAACACCTTGCATCTAGATTAACTTGATATTAACTTTATATATGATCTGTCTAGTGTATATGTGTGGGAAAAAAAATACACAATGTATTTTAAATCCAGTAGTATGTTAAAATATGTATTGCTGACATGTGCCCATGTCCCACACTCCCTGCACTTGTGGTATAATAGACAGAACTATGTGAAAAGGTGTCTTTTCTCCAAAAAGCTTATAAAATACTTGATATGGATGGGAACATCCCTTTTTTTTTCATGAAGCTAATCACCTTTGCCCAATTAACCCTGCCTAGAAGCTACATACTAAATGGAGAAGGACAATTCCAATCCCTTCATTTCTCTGTTCTTGTTAATGCTATTCCATCTGAAAATGTCACACATGCTCAGCTCCAGGGAAAACAGCCCTTCATCAAGTTTTTATGAAAATGTAAGCAATTTCAGATTTCTACAAAGAAATGAAGGTTTTATGTAAAAGCAGACAGTGGACAAAGTGGTTTTCATTGGTAATTCCAGCTTGAAATCTAGCAGCAGTGACCTGCTCTATCACTCGCTCTCAAAAGTAGAAAGCAGATGAAGAGAAATCAGTGTGAAAAGCAGAAATATGTGCTGGCATTTGGGCAGAAGTCTCTCCACTGAGCTGCTGGTGAGGGCTGCAGCTCTGCAGGGCTGCACCTGGAGCTCAGTTCAGCATCTCTGGAAGCCAGTGAGGGACTAAACCTGCCCTGGCCACAGGACTGGCCAGAGATGGGCAAGGAGAAAGCACCTGCAATGAGCAGGGGCTCAGCTCTGCAGCAGGAAAACCATGAAGTGAAAGACCATCTAATTTTGGCAAGTTTTTATGTTTAGATCCATGGAACACAGCAGTTAACTCACTGCCTACAGGTTAAGGTAGTTTTATTTTCCCCATACAACAAGTTGAATGCCATATTCATTAATATAAAGACTAATTTTTAAGATAACAAAAGGAATCTCATAACTGCCACACAGCATTTAAAACCAATTTTCCAAGATTTCTGTATTTATCTGCTGTATAAGAGCAATAACTTTACTTATTGAAGGCAGCCACATGCAAATTTGCCATGTGGGTGCCCAGTTTTGGGGCTAACCTGTGCTGTGACCCTTGAGCCACCAACTCCAGCATGTGTCACAGCTCCCTGGACTTGAAATAAATCACTGAAGTGGAATAAAATCTGTAAAATCATTGCCATTGTTATGGCAATCCTGCCTGAACAAAGCCCACCAGCACAGAGCGAG